ATTTACTTTTCTCGCTGTGAGTGCCGTATATAAACGCTCAAAAAGTTTCCCAGTTCCAATATCAAGCCTCTAATGAACGTTTTTGAAAAAAAAAAAAAAAAAAAAAAAAAAAAAAAAAAAAAAAAAATGACGCGGTAACCGCGGTAAACGCGAAGGCTTTACATTTCATTGGGTGTTTCCTAAAAAACAACGTAAGGGACGTCGTCTTAAATTTTGAATAAAGGGCAACGAGGATACTAAAAATTCAAAGGGTTTTTGAACATGCTTGAGATTTGAAAAAAGAAAAAAAAATAATGAAAAAAGGAAAGCAATTTTTCATTTTTTTTTTTTTTTTCAATTTTACACTTTTCAAAACACATTCTGTGAGATAAGCAGTCGTTTCTTTCAGTCTACCTTCATTTTGCTAGCTCTGCTCTTCAAGAACATAAAGTCGGCTTTGACTTCCGATTATCTTGATTTATTTATCAGAATGAGGTCATAAAATCCATTTTAAAAATTGAATGGTTATAAGGTATGTAAAATTTTCTATCATGCCAATGGTGTATTTTTTCAGGGGTGGAATGATGTGGGATACCATGGCTCGAACGCAATTCAGACCCCAAACATTGATGCTCTTGCCTACGATGGCATCATTCTTGACAAGTTTTACGTCAATCCTCTCTGCACACCATCCAGAGCCGCCCTGATGACCGGCAAATATCCAATCCGAACAGGTGATAGACAAATTAAAGAATATCTCCATACAGTGGTGAAGAAGAATTGAATGTTACATTATCACGAAAAAGAGTATGATATGGATACAAATCTGCGTAATACGTCAGGTACTCAAGTACTCACGTGAAAATTCTGATCGAGAAATATTTTGAAAGAATTCTAGAAGAATCAAAGTAAATACTGAAAATGAAGGAAAAAAAACACTAAGAAGTGGCCCGAACTGAATGTAACAAGGTGGAGAAATGGTGCTGGGTCCACACCATTTCGCGGGGAAAACAAAGCCAAGAAGTTCCAAAAATTAAAATTAGAGTCAAAATTGAATTTTTGAACTCTAATGCGCACCAGTACGAAACTGAGGGGGGAGAGTGTTCAACTCAGGCAGTTTCTATTGGAATATTAAGTTGGAGTCACGTCGAGAGATCTATACCGGTTTGAGTCTTTTTAGACCTCATCAGTAGATCACACTCGGCAGTGAACCCAACTTAACATGCCGCAAAATTAGAGTTCAAAAATTTAATTTTGACTCTAATTTTAATTTTTGGAACTTCTCGGCTTTGTTTTCCCCGCGAAATGGTGTGGACCCAGCACCATTTCTCCACCTTGTTAAATACTGAAAATTATTTTGTTAATTTTCCGATTGCTTGAGAAATACTTTCTGAGTCATTTAAAACTAATCTTCGAACAATTTTGCTTATTAAAAACCTAACAGCCCGAAAGCATGATTCAGTTTCTAGGCATTTGTGGAAAAACATTTTATCAATTGTAGAAATTATTAAATGACTGTTCGACCTTCAAATGCATCATTTAACCTAAATCTAATTAAAAAATGTATCCCTCTGGGGTTGATGACTTATTTTTGCATTTTCTGTGCAGGTATGCAGCACTTCGTTTTGTACGGTGCAGAGCCTCGTGGGCTACCATTGAGGGAAAGACTCCTTCCAGAGTACCTCAGAGATCTTGGTTACGTGAACCATTTAGTCGGCAAGTGGCATCTTGGCCACTATAAAAGGAAATATACACCCCTGTATAGAGGTTTCCACTCCCACCTCGGCTTTTGGACAGGTCGACATGATTTCTTCGATCATACTGCTTGCGAAAATGTAAGGCACTGCTCGACCTTTTTTGCAGATTGAGAATGTTTGGTGGAGTATTGAATGAAAGATTAAAATAAATTAATATTTTCAACAAAATTTAAAAGAGAGTAGATAAACGCAAGGTTCTGAGGGAAAATTCTACAAAAACGGATGGAAAATGTTGCGAAAATGAAAAACCTCTCCTCCTTAGTCTTGTACTAATACCCATGAGAGCTCAAAATGTTTTTCTCAAATTGAAATTTGTGAACTTTTTGGTATTGTCTTTCCAGCAAAATAGTGCGGACCCAACTCTCACTGGAAAAAAAGTAGCTTGAAACAAATCAAAATCAGCTTGAAGCAAGCTGGAAAAAATCTTAAATTTGCCACCAAGAAACGTATAGCTTGAAATAAGCATGGTTGTGCTGCTTGAAATTAGCTACCCGGCGGAATCTTAATTATTTTTCGTCTAATGCTCGGATCCAATACTAAATACTGAAAGTTTTATTAATTTTTCATAAAATTCCGTAATGTAGGGATAAAGCGTTGCTGATTCTTCGACATGGATCATGTTGAAGTCCTCGTGCGTTGCCGCGGGTTTTGTTCTCGGTTTGCAGCACTGTTAAAATGCGCGGCTTTTGGAGATATCCTGGAATGACTTGAGAATGTAGGAATGTATAACTTAATGCCCGTGTCGAAAATGAAGGCGGAGTGGTTACCGTCCAATGGAAACTTAATTCAAGAAGTTGGATGCAAACTTAATTTAAGTCTACTTTTTTCAGCTATTTCCAAGATTCGTGTCATGCTTGAAACCAGGATTCTTGAATCGAGTATACAGTATTTTGAATCAAGAAACAACTTCTTAGAATTAGCAGCCATGGTGGCTTGATGTATAAGACTCAGCAGGTTTGACTCAAGATTTTTGTGCTGCTTAAATCAAGCTAGCAGGTGATCCAAGCTATAAGGTAGCTGCAAATAAGAATCTCAAATCTTGAATGTAGCAGTTAATTGCTTGTTTTAAGACAAAAATTCTTGAATCAAGCTGATTTTTTCTCAAGATTCCGAGACGGCTTGACCGTAGCAGACTTTTTTTTCCAGTGTATTTTATCACCTTGTCACGACAATTTGGGCCACGTTTCTTAGCGTTTTTCATACGGAAAAAAGTAAATTGCTGATTTAAAAATTTTGTAGTTAAGAAAATTGACTGCAATGTTCTAATGTAGATTTTACAATAAAAAATGCTACTGTGACCAACTCTGTAGTTAAAGTAGCTTTCCACTATTGTAGAATGTAAATTTGAAACATTGCAGTCACTTTTTTCAACAATTGAATTGATAAAAAAGCAATCCATTTTCTCCGTGATATTCTTATGATAAGATTTTCCGTACTTCTAGTGGTACCGGTAAAATTTGCCTTGATGTGTATCTCAGTGTACGATTGATGCATGTAATTTTTAGGGAACGTGGGGTCTGGACATGCGGCGAGAGATGGAGCCTGCCTACGACTTGCACGGCGAGTACACGACCGATGTACTCACTCGGCGAGCGACCGCCCTGATCCAAAGACACGATCCATCGAAACCCATGTTCATGTACATGTCACACGCCGCCATGCACTCCGGCAACCCGTACAACCCAATCCCTGTACCAGAGAACCTAGCCGCCACCATGTTCTCTAACATCCCGGACTACCACCGCAGGAGGTACGCTGGTAGGTAACTCCATAATCAGTTCCGGTTTGGGTATCTCGTACAAGAAATTAGGATCTCTCTGATCGCTGCAAGGACCGAGCAGTGGCGTGGCGCACTTTACGATAAGTCCATTATCTGCCATTTAAATCTATGAAAAAGGATCGATACAGGGCGTTTGCAACGAACACCTGAATAATCGATTCTTTACCATAGCTTCGAATGTGGAAATATCGATAATCGATCATTCACGCTCCGCCACCAGGACCGAGGTCTGACGGGTGCTCGCGCACAGACAAAGCGATGAACAAAGAAGGCGAAATGGTGTGGTCTTATTGGTTGAAACAGGTCGTTGTCACAGACCAAAAGGGACCATAATGGTCTAACTATAGGGTCACTCATGGGTTGCTGTTAGTTGGACCGCGTTTAACAGAAAGGAACCAAGCAACATCAGCCGTTGCCAAATTTAACTGGGAAATTTGATTTTTCACGAGACAACGTGTGCGTGGATTCCTTTGAAAATTTTAAGGAATTTGCTTCGTACGTACTATGGAGGAAATCCGCTGAAATTTGCACGAAAATCCGCACAACTGTTTTCATGTAAAACATGAAATTGCCCAATTAAATTTGACAACAGCTGATGTGGCTTGGTTCCTTGGTGTTTAACGCGGTCCAGTTAGTGTATTACTTACCTTCTTTGCCCATTACAACCACCCGCTTCCACCGATAGGATTCCCAGGGCCGGATTAAGGGGGTGCCCACATTGGCCGCGGCCCATGGCGGCAAATTTTGCAATTTCTTTAAATGTAGTTATAAAGAAAAATCTGATTCAGAAAAAAAAAAATACGGACGAGAAAAGGTGAAAAAATCTCTCATTTCCTGAGAGTATATCTGTAATTTTGTTGTCCTTCTGTGATACAATAGACAGCAACTTTAATTAGTCGTGTTAAGACTAAGAGAGAAACCGAACCCGGAATTTGGCCTGGAACGGCGCGGCGCAGAGAGCAATGATGACGACAACGTGAGATGAAAAGGAGAAACCCTCGGCGCGGCGGTTAGCATGTAACAAATTTTAGCGCCTACAAGACTGCATGAATACTTCACGCATTGCGCCAAAGACAGTGCGGTCGCTGCGGTCAGCAGCGGGCAGCGTGAAACGCATGGCACCTACAAGACTGCATGAATACTTCACGCATTGCGTCAAACACAGTGCGTGCAGCAGCGGTTGGCCCGAAACGCATAGAGCATGTAAGACTGTAGGAATACTTCACGTATTGCGCCAAACGCAATGGGGTCAGCACGGCGTGGCGGCGGAAGTTAAAATTACTAAAACACATTTATGTTTGTCCTCTCATAATTTTTGGGTTAATTTTTTATAAATGGAGGGCCTTGTCCATACAGAGATAGGTTTACGGAACTTAACTTTCGCGCCAAGTTCCGTGAACTTTTGCCAGTAGTGTTGACAGGGCTTTCGCAAAAAATGTGACCAACACGAGTAAACGCGTCTTATACGCCTCTTTCCCTCCGGCACGTTCTTTTGATGGTTTTTATTGATGTTTCAAAACGAATGAGAAGGGGGCGGCAAAATACAGGCGGCCAATGGGCGGCAAGTAAGTAAATCCGGCCCTAGGATCCCTCCATTCACCCTTTGTCTTCTTTGTTTATTGCCTTGTCTATCAACTTCAATATTCAGCCCGCTGAGAGCTCTCAGAGATTGTTATCGAGTAACTCAGAACAAACAAAATTCCGCTTAAAGTATATAGGAAATGGGACCTAGTTGTTCTTTAGGTCATGGAATAATAACAGTAAATCGATAGTGAAACTGCAGAAATGCGTATATTGGTTTGTGGTGTTGTAAACTCCCTGTCATACTTTATTTCTTGCATGAAGAACCACTAAACGTAACTTTTGAAAACTTCGGTAATTTTTATTCTCTTTCTGAAGAATATTCTGTTGAAATTTCTAGAGAATATTCTTCAAATTACGATGATTTTGGTTCGATGTCTTTTTAAAGAATGAAATAGCAGCGGAGCTTCGGGATACCGCAGCTGAAATGCGCATTATTATTACGCTCATTATTTTAGCGGATCTACAAGAATCAAGCATCAAAATACGATTTTTAGACCAGCGCAACTGACCCTAAAATCTCTAAAACAGAGAGATTATCTTTGAAACGGCCCAACAATGTTATGCAGTCGTCGTTTGCTGGGTTCGGTCCATGCAATACTGACTCATTTATTATTGCTAAACTGAGGAGAATCAGTCGACAAAACACAATAGTTTGCCTCATATAATTCAACTTAAAAACTGCATTCAGTCAAGTACGTATTTGTCTCACTTTAAAAATATGAGGGAAAATCTACTTAGAGCAATAATTTCCTTGAGAAATTTTATTTTATCCCGTAGTTGCGCTACACCTACTCGACCAGTCCGTTGGAGCAATGGTGGAAGCCCTGTCTGAAAGAAAAATGTTGGAGAATACCATCATCATTTTTTCAACGGACAATGGAGGCCCGGCTGCTGGATTTAATATCAACGCAGCCTCAAACTGGCCACTGAGAGGCGTAAGTAATCATTTTCTCTCCAATTCCAATTTATAAAAAGGAACAGGGTTGATTCCCGCAAGTTGACAAGGCTCGTAAGAGTAATATACTATTACTAGCTGCTTCAGCTCGCTACGCTCGCTTGCGCCGCTAGCCGGGGGCAAGCCCCCTGGACCCCCAGTTACTCGCTCCGCGAGTAACTGTTGGCTCGCTTCGCGAGCCAAATTTTGCTACTACCAGTGCTTAGAGAACTTCCTGGAGGAAAAATGATAAATTCAAAAACAAAGAATAGGAAACTAAAAATTACCTACTTTTAGAAAAAGAAACAACCTTGAAAAATAAATAACACTCCTGGAAAAGAAAATCAGAACACTTTTTGAAAATGTAACGGTGCGAAAGGGTGAGATAAATCACCAATTCTCTTGGAGGAAGACATGAACCGACCCCCGACATGAATGAAACTGCCGTAGGACCCATGCTAGGGTAGAAGGGTGACACGTGTTGTGAGCAGGTAGGGATGGGTTTACGTGGAGAGGGAAACGGAAAATCAGAGGGTGGGAGGTCCCCCAACCATATGACTCGTCCAGCGTCAAAAACGCAAATATGTCGTTATCAAATCGAGGTAAATTTTGCAACTTCGGTCGCGCAAATCGAAAAACGAAGGGGTCTTGGCACATCTAGACCCTATGAGCTTTCATTTAAAACAAATCCGAGGAAAATCGGTCAAGTAGTTTCCGAGATTGAATTAGCACAAACTGTCCAGCGGCAAAAACGCTAATATGTCGTTATCAAATCGAGGTAAATTTTGCAACGTCGGTCGCGCAAATCGAAAAACGAAGGGGTCTTGGCACATCTAGACCCTATGAGCTTTCATTTAAAACAAATCCGAGGAAAATCGGTCAAGTAGTTTCCGAGATCGAATTAGCACAAACTGTCCAGCGGCAAAAACGCTAATATGTCGTTATCAAATCGAGGTAAATTTTGCAACGTCGGTCGTGCAAATCGAAAAACCAAGGGATGTTGGCACGTCTACAGCGTAAGAGCTTTCATTTAAAACAAATCCGAGGAAAATCGGTCCAGTAGTTTCCGAGATCGAATTAGCACAAACTGTTGGAGGCCAAAAAAGGCCTTAGGATATTGAATATATAGATGATATTTTTTTTTCCAGTTTATTCGGCTTCTATTCCTGTTTATTTAGTAACTTAGGAGCCTACATCCATTTATAGACATGAGTTTTAACATAGAGATTAGTTTATTGTCAGTAGACATCAGGGGGATATTGGCACATCCATAGTTCGGCTTTTTTCGGAAAATTTTCAGGGATTAAGGTCGAGCAGGATCTGTTTCTGCAGATCCATTCGTCAGTTCCGTGAAACTTTGTCGGCACAATCGGGATTCAAACCCGGGACCTATTGGTCTAGAGTCAGACGCGCTGACCGCTTGGATAATACATGAACGAGGAACGACCCACTGAGGAGCTATTCGCTCAAAACTCAAGAAAGCAAAACCCCTTCAACTTTTCGTATATGCAACATAGGCATCTCTTGAGCAGGAATAGTTGTATCTCGGCGCCGTATAAAGAAAGCATCATCTTAATAGGTGGCGTTTTTGAAGGTTACTCAGTTTAAAGAACGATGCGTGCGCCTGTGTCTTTCTCTTCAAATACTCATATATTTTACAATTTTTGTTCTAATCTTTTTGAGTAAGCATGTTGTAAATTACCTGTTACTGTTTCTTTACTGATCGGAATATTAAAACGAATTGTTTCCAATCCAATTTATATCTGCAAGATAGGCCCAGCATATTGAATCAAGTTTTCAGTTCAGAGCTCTTTAATTTTAAATAAAAAAAATAAAAAACAAACCAGCTAGAGCACGCATTATTAGTAGTAGAAGTTTTTTAGTTAGTGGTTTCTTTAATTTTACTTATAGATTTATGATGACGGCGTAGAGGATAAAATGGACTTTATTTTGCAATTTGGAACTATAATTTCTGACTCAGTAGAGAAACAATGTATGTACCATTAGTTTCCCTATGCACATAAGTGTTTTTACATACGAGTCAGAAATTATAGATCCAAATTGCAAGATGTTGTCCAAATAGACAGATGTACGTGAAATCCACGTGATGGAGAAGATTAGTCTGTGTAATAATTTAACGAAGTATAATTTGCAATAAGGCATTAGTAGCCATGTAATGTTGCTAAGATTGTACAATTTGTGAGTTGCCAATAAAGAAACCGAAATCAGGCAAATCGATAATATATACCTTATTAATTTTCTAATTTTTGTCTCAGTTTGCTCAATAGTTTCGGTGAAAAATATTACCAATTTTTTTTTAAATCTGTAAGATTTTCTCAAAGGAAAAGAAGTTTCACATTTATTTTTACAACATTGCAGCTGGTAGCTCTCCATTAATGTTGCAGTTTTCCCTCACTTAGGACAACCGAACAATCCAAAAACCTGCCAAGCTTGATATCGTTTTAGAACATAAAACATGCAAATTTTTAATACAATATTTCATCATATTTTTTTTTTCTTTTCTTGGTAAGGTCAAAAGCACTCTTTGGGAGGGTGGTGTGAGAGGCGCAGCCTTTGTTTGGAGCCCAATGTTAAAAAATCCCGGTAGAGTTTCAAACCAACTAATGGACATCACATACTGGCTTCCTACCCTTCTCTCCGCTGCGAATAGAAAGATGGATGTTTGGTAAGCTTATCGAATACAAGTATGCAAATCGGCGCCCTGGTAAAAATTGGCAATAGAATCAGTGTTCCAAAATACCATAGACCTAAAGCCGGCTGTAAGATTTCCAACTGCTTCTGTAGCCGGCTGTACAATTTCTTATAGCCTTTCATAGCCGATGGCGATTAAGCAACAGCCAGACGATAAAGTTTATGCTAAACGTTACTAAATACGGATACTAGGACTTAGCTAGTTTTTGGACTACCGCTCTCTTTTTGTGCCGTAGTATCTTGATTTATTTTGCGAGGAAAGCTCCGTACTTTTGAAGGATGCCTGACATTCTTAGTATGTTTGAGCGCCTTCAATTTCTTATGATACTGTGCAATGCCTCTGGTGTGAAATAGTTGCTTCAGACGCCGTGGCACGATGCGGCGCGGCGGGCGGGCAGAGAGCCGAAACGCGCATTGGCGCCTACAAACCTAACAGGGATACTTCACGCATTGCGCAATGCGTGAAGTATCCCTGTTAGGTTTGTAGGCGCCAGTGCGTCGCCGCTCCGCTTTGTGTTAAGGCTCTGATACTTAATCTTGCGGAGTCAGCGTTTTTCAACTCATGATTTTGAAATGTTTGCACACTCTGTATGGGTTATTCTCATTTTAGTTGATGAAAAAAAAAAATGTTTTAAAGGAAAATATAATGTGTGTTTTGTAAATATTAAGGAATTTCCGTATCAAACTTAATGATTTCCAAAGCACACGAATTTCCACACAATTTCTAATAGCCTTTTATATCCAGTGACGACAAAGTGTAAAGCCCGGCGATAGGAACTTTAGCCCGACTGTATACTTTTTTATAGCTTCGTATCGCCCGGCTATATGATTTGCTCCGCTTTCTACAGCCAGCTATATGATTTTCAATAGCCCTCTTTAGTCGGCTATAAGAACTCCTATGGTATATTGAAACGCAGCTCCTATCGCCAATTTTTACCAGGGCGTATCTAAATTAGACATATTTCTGCAAAACGGAACTTTGTGCATTATCCTTATGGGTCTCAGGACTCACGTCTTAATGCACATAGTTCCGTTTGGCAGGAATATGNATAAATAATTGGTACATAACAGCTTTCTTGTATGCAAAGAAAATAATTAAAAATGTTAAAAAAGAGATGTCAACACAAAATTACATAGCCCCTTCAATTCAGAAGATACTACAAACGAACTGTACCTTAACATTTTCATATCCCAGAAGCTAACGTTCCCATGACGAATATTGCTATCGCTAGCGATTGCAAAATCCAACTTGTTCTAATTTTTGTCTCAGTTTTTTCAATAGTTTCGGTGAAAAATAGTACCAAATTTTTTTAAATCCGTAGGATTTTCTCAACGGAAAAGAAGTTGCACATTTATTTTTACAACATAGCAGCTAGCTGGTAGCTCTCTTTTAATGTTGCAGTAAAATTTTTTCCCTCACTTAGGACAACCGAACAATCAAAAAATCTGCCAAGCTTGATATCGTTTCAGAATATAAAACATGCATATTTTTAATACAATATTTCATTATATTTTTTTTTTCTCTTTTCTTGGTAAGGTCAAAAGCACTCTTTGGGAGGGTGGTGTGAGAGGCGCAGCCTTTGTTTGGAGCCCAATGTTCAAAAATCCCGGCAGAGTTTCAAACCAACTAATGGACATCACCTACTGGCTTCCGACCCTTCTCTCCGCTGCGAATAAAAAGATGGATGTTTGGTAAGCTAATCGAATACAAGTATGGAAATCGGCGCCCTGGTAAAAATTGGCGGTAGAATCTGTGTTTCAAAATACCATAGACCTAAAGCCGGCTGTAAGATTTCCAATATCTTCTGTAGCCGGCTGTACAATTCACTGAAAAAAAAGGATTGCTAATTCACCGATTTAGGGTGGAGCAAAATTTGCTTCACTTCGTAAAGCTTTCTTATCCGTGCACGGTGTTGAATCGAGTGAACGACTAGCACGAATTGCTACACCGATTTGCTACATCTGCGCGCCTTCATGCAGTTAATCTTGCATCGAGTGGCTTGGAAGTGTAACTGAATTTTTTGGTATTGGTACTTTGCGAACAGTAAAAATAGCTCAATAGTTAGGCTGAAATAGCGGAATTTAGGAAAAATAGCGAAATTTACGAAAGAATAACTGAAAAGGTAACAGACGTAGCTTTTCAGAGAGCAGAATCACCTACACGCGTGTGTGTAAGTTGTAGCTGAAATTTGTGTAGCGATTTTACCTGCATGGTTTGCACGTTCGTTTTTTAGCTACACCATGCCATGAAATACCCGCGTGCACGGCAATTTCAGCAATATTTTTTTTCAGTGTTTCATATAGCTTTTTATGGCCGATGGCGATTAAGCAACAGCCAGACGATAAAGTTTATGCTAAACGTTACTAAATACGGATACTAGGACTTAGCTAGTTTTTGGACTACCGCTCTCTTTTTGTGCCGTAGTATCTTGATTTATTTTGCGAGGAAAGCTCCGTACTTTTGAAGGATGCCTGACATTCTTAGTATGTTTGAGCGCCTTCAATTTCTTATGATACTGTGCAATGCCTCTGGTGTGAAATAGTTGCTTCAGACGCCGTGGCACGCTGCAGCGCGGCGGGCGGGCTGAGAGCCGAAACGCGCATTGGCGCCTACAAACCTAACAGGGATACTTCATGCATTGCGCAATGCGTGAAGTATCCCTGTTGGATTGTAGGCGCCAGTGCGTCGCCGCTCTGCCTTGTGTTAGGCTCTGATACTTAATTTTGCGGAGTCAGCGTTTTTCAACTCATGATTTTGAAATGTTTGCACACTCTGTATGGGTTATTCTCATTTTAGTTGATGAAAAAAAAAATGTTTTAAAGGAAAATATAATGTGTGTTTTGTAAATATTAAGGAAGTTCCGTATCAAACTTAATGATTTCCAAAGCACACGAATTTCCACACAATTTCTTATAGCCTTTTATATCCAGTGACGACAAAGTGTAAAGCCCGGCGATAGGAACTATAGCCCGACTGTATACTTTTTTATAGCTTCGTATAGCCCGGCTATATGATTTGCTCCGCTTTCTACAGCCAGCTATATGATTTTCAATAGCCCTCTTTAGTCGGCTATAAGAACTCCTATGGTATATTGAAACGCAGCCTCCTATCGCCAATTTTTACCAGGGCGTATCTAAATTAGACATATTTCTGCAAAACGGAACTTTGTGCATTATCCTTATGGGTCTCAGGACTCACGTCTTAATGCATAAAGTTCCGTTTGGCAGGAATATGTCCAATTAGGAGTTTTTAAAAATAGACTCGCGCATTTGCAATGGTGGTTTGCTGTGAAATACGAAACTGGAGGAACAACATGGCAATTTCAGTGACTCCTTTATGTAAAAGCAACCCAAGGATCCCTTCGATTTCAACCTAGATGTTTTTAAGCCTATGGCAAAGTACCGTTTGCATGATAAGATACCGGAAGCTATATGCCGACTGTACGAGGAAATCGTAAATATGAACAATTAAACACGCCGGAGGATAGAATCTCATTTCGTCACGTGTGTTTTGGCGGATTAGCGTCAGCCATGTTGAATATTGCGTGGCATCCTTGTGCGCAGGGGTTAGATTGAATGACGAAATGTTAACTTCTCCCGGAGTATCGTTTTTGAAGCGGTAAGCTTAAAAAAATGCATATCTCGCACGGAGATTGTGAAGTTAGGATTGTATTTCATAGTATACTGATGCGCTTATCGTGAGTTTGGAACCACATCGAAGAAAAAATGGAGTTGATTCAACATTCTGGATGTAAAAAAAGTGTCCGAGAACTTATAAAACGCAGCATCACCCCCCACAGTGGTTAGTTTAACATCTTGGCATGGCTAAACTAACTGCTGCTGCGGGTAATTCAGCGTTTTATAAGTTCTTGCACACTTTTTCTACACCCAGAATGTGCACTTTCTAAAAGAAAAAACTCTCCTTTTTCCTCTAGCTGAAGTTTAAAACAGACCCATTATCTGCGTCAGGATCACGTAATTTTTCTCAATTTTCCTGAGCCGTGAAATCTACGTGTTTTGGAGCCTTAAATAAACAGTTTTCGCGGGGCTTTCCCGTGGAACGGCATTTTCACGCATTTTCTGGGAATTTAGTTTCTACTAAAACGCGTGCGCCGATAACATTCTGATGCATTGCATTCATTGGCGGAGCCAGCAAATTGGCAACATTGTCTTTTCGCAATTTAAACCAATGGAAATATATCGATATTTTGAGGGGCCAGGGGCTCAAATAAGAATCGATTGTTTGGCATATGTTCAAATGGTGGAAATCCGGTGTTGCCAAATTGCTGGATCCGCCTCTGATTGTTTCACGAAGCAACGGCTCTGCTCTGATAATACATTTTAATGTTGTTCCATAAATGCAGTCCGCGGAGTGATGAAGATGAGGATTTGGACGATGACCCTCCTGTCACTGAGGATGACTATGGTTACGATAGTAACGATAATAATGATCGACGACGATCACTGCCAGCGGATAGTAATTCGAGGAAAATTCGGTGAGCAGCTGCAGTAGCAATTTATCTGTCTCTTTACTTGAGTGCATCTTCTTAAATATATTTTTCCCATGGACTTTTTTTTTAATACTTTTTTATAAAGACTTTTTTAACGAAAAAAAAATGCTAAAGAGTGTATCTGAATTATATCGTTTAAGTATCCGATTATCTTTTTTTCCTGCAAGGGAAACAATCGTCACAAATTTTTTGTGTTTGTTTTGTCGAAGCGAGTGAAAATAACCGACGGAAAATTTAATTAGGATGTCTTGCTCACTGTAATCTTAAACCAATTATTTTAATTATTTTAAATAATTTTCCGCCTGGAATCTCCCTTCATATTCCTTGGACAATCACAAATTCGGAATTTTAGGTCATCGCAAACCAGTGGTGAGGCATGAATGATCGATTTATCGATATTCACTCATTTGAGGCTATGGCGAAAGATCGATTATTGAGGTGTTCGTTGCGAACACTTTATTTATCTATCCTTTTCCATACACTGGAAAAAAAAAACACATTGGATCTAGAGTCCATAGACTCTTGAAAATATTGACAAGAAAAAGGACTCTTGATTCAATCAGATTTAAGCTTAAATCAAAAGGAAATCCACTCAAATTAAGAGGCTTGGTTCTTAATTTAAGATTAAATCTGATTGAATCAAGAGTATTTTTTCTTGTCGATGTTTTTAAGAGTCTGGACTCTAGATCCAGTGTTTTTTTTTTTCCAGTGTAGGTTTAAATGACAGATAAATCGATGTATCGCAATGCATGCCACGCCCTTGTCGCAAACTCATCATGAACCCATTTTCCCCAACAGCGGCTGCAGTAAACTTGACGGGAGGGACGTTTGGGACGCTTTGGTTAACGATAAACCATTCAACACGACAACGATACTCCACAACATCGACCAAATCGATGGGAATGCAGCCCTACGTTACGGAAAATGGAAATATGTGAACGGTAAGCTTCTGAATCCAAAATAATTCATCCCTTATTGGACCTCCCATTTGAAATGAATTGAAGTGATCTTGAGACGAAAATCACCCATGGGCGGATCCAGCAATTTGGCAACTCCGGATTTCCTCAATTTAAACCTATGTAAAATAAGCGATTCTTGTCGGAGTACCTGGCTTTTTGATACATTTCCATAGGTTTTAATGGAGAAGAACCAATGTTGCCAATTTGCTGGATCCGCCAATAATCATCACCAAGTTGCGCTGCAAACAAAGGCGAGGAAATTAAGAGGCAATAACACAAAACGCGAAACCGCAATCAACGATTTTATATCTCTTGTATTTTTAAATGTAGATAGTTCACTATATTCAGAGGAATTACTCCCGTATTTTCGAGAGGAATTCGATAATTTTGTAACGTAGGTTATCAAATAAGTAAATAATAAACAATATTTAATTAAATTATTATATTTAATAACTAGATATTTAAAACATGGTTTTATCTAAAATCTAAAAATTAATTTATTTTACCTTTTGAATGGTAACAATATAACATTCTTATATGGTTGTAAATTTCGAGACATTAAACTCTTTTTTATTGTTAATTAACCCTGATACAAAAGGTAAAAGATTATCATCTTTACTTAAATTAAATGTTTATAATTTTTTTTTTGGCTGTATTTCACCATTATATACATAACAAACACCAAGATTATTAAAATAGTCAAAAACGAAAAATCATAAAAAAATGTTATTTGTTCTATCGTAAAACTAGCACTATTTTGAAATCTTCCATTTCTTCACATTCCTATTTCTAAAGAAGAATTAAAATCTTTTTTATAAATCTTAAATTTACGGCACTTTCTGCCACTTTCTTTCTTCACTTTTCGTTGTGTTGGGTGACTCAAGCTTCTTAAGACATGCATTACCGCACAAACGAAAATGGCATTCGAAAATGTATTTTTTGCAACAATAGCCTCCCATCTTCATAGTATGAAAAATTACCTGAAGGTGCTAATACGGGACTCAGAACACAAAGTAACATTTTGTAGACCAAACCAGTCTTCTTGGTTGATCCGACCCCCCCCCCCAAAAAAAAAAACAACCCGCAAAGTAAATCGAAGGAACAATAAATACGAACATTTTGAACGGGGTTGAATACCGCACACTTTCTATCTGCCACGATGAAAAGTATCGATACTATGTACATAGTTTATTAGCAATATAGTTCATACATTTTATTGTGTTAACATTTTCAGGAACTGTGTTTCGCGGGATCGGAGATGCCATATTCGGCCCTTCAGAACGGGGCCCAGAGAATGGATACAATGTGAGCTTAGTTCTCAGCAGCAAAACTAGTCAAATTCTGCAGAAAATGAATCGAGGTGCTTCGCCTGAAAAGGTATTTGAACAAGCTTCTAAATTCCTAAGCTTTACGTCAATCAGTGAAATTCTCCGTGACAAATATAAACGGGGCAGTTGCGCTTGTCACAGAATCGTATTTTCATGCTCGATTCTTGTAGAATAGCTGAAAATAGTAAAATCGGTCTAGGTTCAATATTAACAGAGATATCACTTTGAAGAATTCGGCTTAAGGTGATTCGATGGACGCCATATTTTGTGTCAGAACGGCATGCGATGTATAGCATCAATTGGTTCCATTTTTTTACCTACTCGTCATTTTTCTCCAATTTTGAGATCGCAATTCTGTTGTCAGGGGACTAAAGCACTCACTCACCAACTTTAACAAAGAAATTCAACGTAATAAAGGCATGGTTTTTTTAGAGAGAAAATATCGCATTCGAGTGCAGTTTTAATATCAGTATCGAATGCGATATTTTTCCTCTAAAAGTACCACGCCTTTATTACGTTGAATTTCTAGGTTAAAATTGGTAAGTGCGAGTGCTTTAGTCTCCGACAACAGAATTACGATCTCAAAATTGGAGAAATATGACGAGTTGCTGAAAAAATGAGACCAATTGATGCGATATAATATCGCATGCCGTTCTGACACGAAACATGGCGTCCATCGACTCACCTTAATCCCGGAGAAATCCCGAAACAAATTTAAGGCTCATGAGTTAAAGATCGAGTTGCCGAGCATCCTCACCGCTGACGTCACTGGCGCTTTATGATTTCCATTCATTCCTCCTTCCATCGACTAATGAGCGAACCCTTTCTTTTTCACCTGTCTCAAGTTCCGTTTAGCAGAAATATCGTCGCTCTTCTGACTTACGGGCGTATCTCGATTTCCACGTGAACTCTCTTCTCCGTGTAACTCTACGCTTTCTGAGGCTCATGTGGAAGTGGAGATACGCCTTTACGCCAGAGGACCGACGATATGTCAAATGTGAGCATATTTAGGGAGTAAATCTGGAAAACCTCTCCATTTCCGTTTACGAAACGTGTAACAATGCGGCATATGCTGCCGTGCTAAGGAAGAACGCCGTATGAGCCTTCAGGCGTTGCCAAATTTCCCCTGGCAAATCATTAACTTTCAGGTAAATTGTCGGATATTTGTCTACCAGCTCTCAGATAATTTTGTTTGTAATTTGATCTAAAACTTCTGAAAATTTTAAAGACAAATATTCATACATTTCCTCCAAAATAAACATTTTATCGAAGGAAATTTGGTAACTCTCCAATGTTCATACGGCGTTCTTCCTTAGCACGGCAGTACGGATCTCCTCACTCATGTCTTGGGAAAATTTGCAAACGCCTTCAAATGAGTGTATATGCAACACTGACAGTTTCTGGACACGAATAGTTGCATCAAGGCGCTGATATACAACTAACGAGCTCACCTCTTCTTTTTTACCCATCTCTGGTTTCGTTTAGCTGAGATACGTCGATTTTGTGCATGGGATCCTTACTAAAATATCGTGCAACATTTGATTGTGATTTCAGATCCGGAGTTTAAGGCAACAATCAACAGTGGTTTGTTCGAGTCGGAACGGTACCACTTGCAATCCCAACAAAGGTCCGTGCCTCTTCAACATCGATGAAGATCCGTGCGAGAGAAATAACGTGGCTGAAGCGTAAGAGAACTTATTCAAATATTTTGTTTTTCTTAATGTACTCGCGGTTTTGGCGTCTGCCTTTATTGGTCGCTTACGACTGACGGAGACTGGGATCTTCTGTTGCGTGTCCACGGCCCAAAGTGGATGTAGTCAATGGGAGAGGTCGGACAAAATTTGGAAACTTTAAAAGCTTAAAACTATGTTAAGGCAAAAATTAGAGATTTTAAAATGGTTCCATCGGTTTCCTCGTTAAATGGTACCTCTCAAAGCACCCCAAAAAATTTGAAACGTGACGAATTAAACATCAAAATTTGCGGTTTTAGTCAAAAAGTTCATGTCCAACCTCTCTCATTGACTCGATCCACTGTGCGGCTTAGGCGAGAGCGGTAATTTTTTGCCCGCTTCACAGCACAAAAAACAAAACAAAAAGAAAACAAGAGTCGCAATTTGAATTCCGGGCCGAGTGGTACCCCCTACTTTTAAGAGTCGTCGCTGATTGGCTGATCCGCATGGTGCCTACTTTCTGAGGCCCACTTGGAAAATAATACGGGGTTCATTTGTCATCGATAATAGCTCGAAAACATGGGGAAAATGCGTTGGAGATTTCAGAATTCAATTTTCCAGATTTTTCTGAAGAGATTGATATGAAATACACAACGCTTTTTTCACAAACACGTCGAACAGTTTTACCTGGAATTTTTTTGCTCAACTTGAAATATGACTCTTCGTGTCTCTTTTTTATGACGAAACCTACCTTGCGTTACTATATCTCTAATTTTGTCTAATGCTGCTTAAGGAAAAACGCCGTATGAACATTCGCGAGTTGCCAGATTTCCCCGATTATAACATATATTTCTGAGGAAAGTTAAGCATATTTTTCCTTGAAATTTGCAGGTATTTTAGATAAAACTGCGAGCAATATTGTCAAAAAAATTAGAATAAAAATATCATAACTTTGCTAATAAACTCGTATTTTATTATAGGAAACTTGGCAATGTGTGATAGGTCATACGGCGTTCTTCCTTAGCACGGCAGAATAGTTCGTGTGTCCCATTACTCGTATTCTAAGGAAAAAGTACGAACCTGATCGGCACCTTACAAGAAAAGTAGGAATATTTCAACTTTAAGTGATGCCATGTGACAAAAAAACTATTAAAATCCATTAAAAGACAGACACAAGCTTTTTACGGCGCTCAGTTTGCTAATGGATTTTTATAGTCTATGCCCATAGCGCATTATCGATGACGTTCATCAAAGCAACAGGCAAGGTGTATTGAATTTCAAATGGACCACATTTTGCAATGAGGAACCACTATTTCTGGATCATTTTAGAAACAACATATGTGCCATTGGTTTTCCTAAGCAGAAAGGTGCTTTTATGGAGTAGCCNTGTCATTAAATTATTTTAAACTGTTATTTTTAACTTCATAAAATAGGAATATAGCGCCTGAAACTGTTGTAACTGGGGAGTACTTTAATCGATCTTTTCAACCGATATAAATTGTTTTTTTTATAATATATTAATAGGAATTAAAACTCTCATTTAATAGCAATAAAACTGTTATTTCGAAGATATAATAAAAATTATTTTATAGCAGACCTTGCTACCTGGGCATAGATAGTGGTTTCTTATCGCAAAATGTAATCCAAATGAACTCAAACAAGTAAGAATATTTCAATTTTAAGTGATGCCATGTGACAGAAAAACAATTAAAATTCATTAAAAGGCAGACACTAGATTTTTACGGCGCTCAGTTTGCTAATGAATTTCCATAGTCTATGCTCATCGCGCATTATCGATGATGTTCATCAAAGCAACAGCAAAGGTATACTGAATTTCAAATGGACCACATTTTGCAATAAGAAACCACTATTTCTGGCTCATTTTAGAAACAACATATGTGTCATTGGTTTTCCTATGCAGAAAGATGCTTTCATGGAAGAGCCATAGATAGTGCACTGGAAAAAAAACCACATTGGATCTAGAGTCCAGACTCTTGAAAACATTGACAAGAAAAAGGACTCTTGATTCAATCAGATTTAAGCTTAAATCAAAAGGAAATCCGCTCAAATTAAGAGGCTTGGTTCTTTATTTAAGCTTAAATCTGATTGAATCAAGAGTATCTTTTCTTGTCGATGTTTTCAAGAGTCTGGACGCTAGATTCAATGTGTTTTTAATTTCCTAGTGTGGTTTCTTGTTGCAAAATGTAATTCAAATGAACTCTTAAGTACCGATTTTAATTGGACGTATTTCTGCCAAACGGAACTATGTGCATCATGACGTGAGCCCTGATGTGCATATAATCTTAGGGGTCTCCGGGCTCATGTCTTAATGCACATAGTTTCGTTTGGCAGAAATACGTCCACTTTTCCCTACTGGTCCATTTTTATTCCATTCGGAGTCCAGTGGTCCATTCATGCGTTCACTCTCTAATTTTGTGCAGGAATCCAGCGGTGTTGAGGGATCTGGAAAACCGACTGGCCAAGTTCCAGAGGACCTCCATGCCTCCAGGGAACCTTCCTCTGGACGAACGCGGGAACCCGGAGCACTGGAACTACGTCTGGACCAACTTCGGAGACTACCTCAACCTCCCCGACGATATCCCACCCAGAGGAGAACCCCTTCTCCCGGTTACCGAGGCCGTCTTTGCCTGCTCCAGAAACGGCGGACGAGTTATTTGAACGACTTTGTGGGAAACGACGATGAGGTAGTGTTGGGGATTTTTTCGCAAAAATCGACAAATCGAATCGATTCGATTATCCTCTAGAATCCGATTTTATCAATTTAAATCATGAAAAAAATCGATGTATAAACTCGGAAAGTACGAAGGCTCAAAATTTGCACCCGTAAAAAAATCTAACAAAAATTTCCGGGAAGCTTGCTAAAATAATGGGTCCAGAAGATCGACTCACATGCAGATTTAAAACATTCGGGCAGGCAAAAATTTGAATTTGAGAGGAAAACTCGATTTGTACGATTTATCGAACGCAACCAAATCGATGCAATTTATCGATTTTTCCCAGTTAAAGAATCGAATTTTCAAGAGAATCTATTAAAAATCCCCAGCACTACGATAGATGCATGGAAAATGTCCTAGAAATGAGGCCCATACCACAAAAAACAGTATACATTCTTGATAATTTTCCCATCAGAAGAAGCTTTAAAACCATTTCGAATGTGTTTCTGACATATTGAAATACTTTTCTCCCATCTTCCAAAAAGATAGGAGCAGTTATAATTTCATCCTACATGCTTTGTGAAAAAAGGGGGAAATTGACAACATGCAGTATAAATCGTCTGCCTTACTCATACAAGTTATCTTAAAATTAAAACCATATTAATGAGGAAACAGATTTTTTCTGTTTTCTTTTTTTTCTTTTTTTGCACACCACTCTCGCGGTGGCATGTCGAGTTTTTTGTGTCTTTTTGGAGGAAGTACATGCAATCTGTTTCGTGAAGCCAATTTCATTCTTCTGACAGGAAAAGTCGTTTACGAGGCAGAAAATGACTGGTGGATCTGTTAACACTTTTACAGGATTAAGCTCCGGTGCCACGTTGGCGAATCTGTACGAGAGATCGTGAGTTCACGCCAAATCAAAAGTTTTGCAAAAACGCGGAATTTAACTATTACTACCGGAAGGGTCAGGAAAAAGTGGAAAATACAAAAATTGTATGCTTACCATTAGCTCCAAAATGGATAAGTACGTGCCTTATGTATTTTTTAAGATAATAGAGTGTTTTCTTTTGAGTGTTTAAGCTCCAATTCTCATTCCAACTAGATTAAAATATTTTTCTTTGTTGAAAATTTGAATTCACGCACTACGTCCACTCTCACAGCGGTAATTTCACGCAACCTGTCTCTTCTGTTTTTTCTCCATTTGCCTGTGTGTATAACTAACAAATGTACATGTGGTGTCTTAATCAATGTTCATGATGAATATAAATGACGTAAAAAAAGTTATGCCAACATGGGAGGATTGCCACTGGAAAAAAACCCTCGCTAAATTTTTCCGGAGAGCAATTTTTTAAGTGTGGCCTGAACTTGAATATTTCACAGAAAATACTCATTCAAAGCTAAAAGGAAAATCGAGGACGGATTGGTTAAAATAAACCAATCCGTCCAGTGGCGTGGCGTGCTTTGCGATATATCGAATGATCTGCCATTTAAACTTATGGAAAAGGATCGATCAACAGGGTGTTCGCAGCGAACACCTTTATAATCGATTCTTTACCATAGGTTTAAATTACATATCAATCGATACATCGCACTTCACGCCACGCCACCGTTATTTTAGTGGTTGTGACGAGAGTGAGGTTTTACATTAATCCGACTAAATGTATTAGCCTAAAAAGCTGGATTCAAGTTAAAATGACCCCTTATCAAAGCGAAAATTTTGAATTTCAAACTTTAAACTGTCATAAAAAGTTTTGCTTCTCTCCTTGTTTTGCAAAAAATCAGGGATTTTGTGGAAAATGCTTTCAATGTTGTGTTTTATTAAACCTTAATCTCAAAGCAATTGCGCTTATTTCTACCGAACGGAACTATGTTCATTAAAGCATGAGCCCTGAAACCCCTAAAGGTACATGCATAACAAGGCTCACGTCATCATGCACATAGTTCCGTTTGACAGAAATACGTCCAGTTGTAATTTATTTGTCCTCGATTCCGCCAACTACAATAGCCACACATGATCTCGTTTAAGAAATGTTATAATTATATTTGGACTTGATTTTTTCTAAACCGAACTGTACGCAAACAAATAAATAAAAAAAGCTTTGTGCATACAGGATTTTCCTGTAGTCTATTCTCTTTGGTTTTATTCATTACCACAGTGTTTCTTCATAGCATCACGTGTATTTATCATTTTTATATAAAATAGAGAAAAATAGAAAGAAAAGAAACGAAAAAAATACAAAGGAATAAAACTTTTAATAAAACTTCGCATAAAACAATTAATTTCATAAGCTTATGAAGTTCTTGTTCTAAAATTCAATTTTTGAGGAAAAGTTTTCCAAATGATTTAGAAAATGAAGGTCATCTTCAAATACAACATCTAAAATTACGTGGTCTATGAAGGACCGCGAGCCTTAACAATAACCAATAAAACAAAAGTTGTATGCAACTTTACTACTCAAATTTATTTATTTCATACAACTGTGCCGGAACAAAAGTTTTTTCTTTTCTTTTTTAAGTGTCAGCGCAAGCGCAAAGAAACCGCACTTCCATATTTCAAACTGTTACCTTCGAATTTATAAATTACGAAATATTCAAACGAGAGAGTGATGACCGCATGCGTGCATACCTGGATAACCAGTTTCACGACCTAGATAGACGAATTTTTCGAGAAACCTGCAAAACTTTACTATCATGCGTCAGGTAGTAGGCAAAGACCTCTCAAAACATCTCATTAAAGGAAAATTTCTCACAAAATAGACAATGAAAAGTCCAAATGGGCGAATACGGCATTATTCTGAAACATATCTGATATAAAAATACTGTGACAAAACTGGAATTAGTTTTATATATTTTTTTACGATTTTGTAGTGACAAAAGTTCACTTTTAAGTGTCAGCGCATGGGAGTAGCATTATTCCATATATTTCAGTATGTCACTATTTAGTGTATCCATTACAACATTTTCAAAGGAGAAATTGTTAGTCACTCGCAGTTGCATCTCGATCAGCTTTGCTTTACGACTAAAAATGCCAATTTTTCTGCAAAAACGCCGGAAACGCCATTTTACATTTCTTGGCAACAATCCATACAAGCAGAAAAAGTTGTGTAACTCGGGACAATTTTTTTACGGAATTCTTTCGCAAATACTATCAAGAACTTAACCTGAAAATTTGAGGTGCATGGGTAAAACAGTTTTAATTTTATAAAGCGTCAAGTTCCAAAAAACGAAGAAAAATAATGATGGATTTACGGCGTTCTTACTTAGCACGGTAGTATTGATCAATATTTCAAATGTATAGGTAAGCAGCGGCACTTTTCTAGTGATTCTCGTTTTTTACGTTGTCGCCCTCTTGGGCCCTTAGAGCTGCATAAATCGAGTTGTCCATTAGGGTGGAGCGTTTTTGGGCTTTTTTTTTATTTTGAAAATGGACATAGCAGAGTAGTTATGAAATGGTCTAAAAGTAACGCCTGAATTTTCCTGAATTTTTTCGTCAACGTTTAGGCCTCCCGGATTGGCGTTGACGTCAAAATTAGCGGAAAATCCGGGTTTTTGACGATAACTTGGCAACAATGGCAAATACGACAAAAATGCATAGAATCAGNACACTATATTTGAAATTTACGACTAAAAAGACATAGGAAACGACACCTCATACCACACGAGATGCACATTTTAAATTACCTTGATGCTTGATAATCTAAACACGGCCGCCTTTTTGAATTTTAGGAATTTTAAGGGGTGTTCCGCGGTGGAGCCGTGGAAAACATTTTGTATGTTTTGTGTTATTCAGGCCAATCCGATGATGGTATTCTTGTAGGAAAAGTCCATCACGCAATTTGTTCCGAGTTAGCCCTCTTTCTCCCGTATTTCTACCGTATTTCTCCCGGACTGAACGAGAATTTGTGCCGAATATCCGGAAAAATACGGGTTTTCGAATTTTACACTAAAACGGTTGCACTTACAGAAAAAATGATAAGAAAGTGATTTGTCGGAAATTTAATTTCCAACAACTCTGATTCTATGCATTTTTGTCGTATTTGCCATTGTTGCCAAGTTATCGTCAAAAAACCCGGATTTTCCGCTAATTTTGACGTCAACGTCAATCCGGGAGGCCTAAACGTTGACGAAAAAATTCAGGAAAATTCAGGCGTTACTTTTAGACCATTTCACAACTACTCTGCTATGTCCATTTTCAAAATAAAAAAAAAGCCCAAAAACGCTCCACCCTATTGTCCATACTCTCCGTATAAAAGTACTCCAATGGGTCACTAAACCTTGTTTATTTTATTTAATATTCTGAAAGTACTAGGTGAGTAGATAATGTGGTGATTTTTCCGAATTTTTATGGAGCCGAGATCGCGGAGAAAACCGCTCTTGAAAACTCAAAAAACGGGAAGACATTTCAAACGCACCCGAATGGCGGGAAACTAACGGTGGTGATGTACACTGAGAAAAAACTATGGCTTATAAACCTATTAGAGGTAAATATGGAACACCACTAATAGTAGTACCTCTACATATAATAATAGCACATATACCTTAGTTATGGTCTCTGTACCTTAATTAGGTACAGAGACCTTAGTATGGTTCACAGACCGAGAATCATTAGTTTATTTACGACTATTATAGGTGTTCCATATTTACCTCTAATAGGTTTATAAACCATAGTTTTTTCTCAGTGTACTGCGGTAGTCAAATTGCAATCTTCTCTCATTTTCCACCGACGTGTGTTAAAATAAAACGTCTTTCTTTGTGAAATTATTGCTTGTCCACTAGAGATAACATAAATGAGATTCGATTCTTTAATTCTACAGATATAAGTACGACTTTAATTTTGTTCTCACATACGAGGAGTAGATAGACATTTGGCAGAAGTCGTAGAAACCCGTGCCCGCTTCTGATTGGTGCCGGATGACATCATTCGGCGCGGCGCAAAACCGGGGCGTTCTAAATTTGCGTATAAGTTGAGCGATTTGAACTGCGCATTTCTCGGTTATTGAGTTACTTGTTCGCGTTTTTAATGTGCGCATCGCGTTTTACGCGTCATTTTCCTTCAGAAAACTGTATTCGCAAGTCAAAATTCGTTCATGGTTTAGTGACCCATTCGATCTAAGAATGCTCAGCTAAGTCTAGGATCATCCCAACTTGCTGGGTTGAGGTTCAGGCCCTTGATGCAGTATTTGAGACGCCTAAAGACGCCTTCACTCGCTGGTGCCCTGACGAAACATCTGAAGGTCGATGGGGTCCTCGGCGGTGCGTCAACCTTGAATCCGCACCTCCATTTCGAGCTGGTCTTGCGGTAGCAGCCCCCCTCCCGCGCGTTGCGGCAGTCCTTGGGACGAGCATACTCCGGGAGCTTGTTGTAGCCGTGCATGGCGAAGATGCAGAAAAAGGTGGCGCCATTTCGACGTGTGTTAGACGAGGCGTCGTCAAGTGCCTTGCAAGGGTCACCTTTCCTCTGGAAGAGTTTGAGATGCTCGATCCAACCGTTTTGGGATGGAGTTTGCCGTATTTCCGTCCGAGTGTCGTCTCCCTGGAGTAGCGCAGAACCCTACAACAGTCCATTGAGGTTTTTTGTGATCAGAGGCATAAATGCAAGTACGAACGCGAAGAAAATACAAGAGGGGAGGTAATCAGAGACATGCACTGAAAGAAAAATCTCGGCGTATTTACTAAGAAAAGGGTAAAATTACCAAAAATTCAGGGTTCTATTTGATCCCAGTTTTTTCTTGGTAAAATTACCATTTATGGAATTGGTAATTTTACCGAGAAATCNGCGATCCTCAATCTCACGCCCCTTCGTTCTCTCTCTCCTCTCTCTTCTTCACATTCCTTTAACTTCTCTCAACAACTCTTTCTCACTCTACATTTCTTCTTCTTTCTCTTCCTAAGTTATTCTTGTTGCCCTGCCTTTAAGGTGGCTGCCTGCGAGACTATCCTCGGGATGACTTCTTTTCTTCTTCTCTTTCCTATCCCACTTTTCTAGGTTCTCTAACAATTACCATTTATGGAATTGGTAATTTCTCCGAGAAATCTCGGTGAAATTGTTGGACTTTCTCGGTAATTTTACTGGACCTTGGTAAAAACGCCAATATTTTTTATGGACTGTGGTAGAATTACCGAGATAAAATGGCAAAGTTACCGGGAATTGATTACCAATTAAAGTGGTATTCTTACCTGAAAAAAAAAACAGTAAAAATACCGGTTTCAAGGTAAGCTTACCAGTCTGTCTTGGTAAAATTACCAATAATTGGTAAAAAAAGTGAGATGGGAAAGGTACCAACGGACCTTGGTAAAAACGCCGAGAATTTTTTTTCAGTGTGAGACCCTCCACTACCCACTCAGCATGATATCTTAAAGCAATGTTGTTATTTGCTGACATATGTCGATGTAATGTTACTAATATGGATGGAATGTTAAATCAGTATTGTCAGGATAAGACTGACAATATCAACATTTATATAAGCTTGATAGACCGGCAATCAAGGAAGTGTCAAGAAGTGTCAACCTGATGACAATGTTGACGGGGGCATATCAATATTGTGTAAGATTATTGTAATGTTACTTCAACCTTACTATCAATGTTGTTGCAATGTCCAGGCAAGTCCCTGGCAGTAGCACATCAAAATTGATGCAATCTTACCTTATTCTTACTAAGATGGTATATTTTTTTTTTCCTTTCTGTTGTTTAATGGCTTTGTGACTAAGCACCTGCAGCCAAAAGATAGATATAATATAGCTGCAATGTTGATGTGTAAGATGTGCAATATTATACTAAGATTGTATTAAGGTTCTATGCTGAGTGGGTAGTATCTTCGCAATGGTGGAACCATTTCCTTTCGGGACTTCACCATTCAACTGTTGACCTACCTACCTACCTACCTACCTCACCTGGTTGATGGTAAACAACATGTTGGCAGTTTCGTTTTGCAAACAAACCAAAGTTTGGGAAATTTGTTTGAAGCTCGTCATCCACCATGTACGTAGGTACTATAGGTAGGTCAATAGCAGAAAAAAGAGTGATGACTGTCCTGCCGTGCTAAGGAAAAACGCCGTATGAACCTTCAGGTATTGCCAAATTTCCTTTGGCAAATCACGGATTCTCTGAAAAATGTGTAAATGTTTTTC